CTGCAAAGACTCAACGTCAGCCAAGGCGAGTGAGAAAAGGAAGGGTGCGCCGCTCTACATTGTGTACAATTGCGCGTGTGAGTTCTGCATTGGCAATACCACAACTATATCAACAACACGCTCGGTGAGGTGAGCATCTACAACATATCATCAATACCAAACCCTCACGCAAAAGCCTTATAGAAGTCCTATATACCCTAAACTCCCCACCTGTAGTTTCCTTTAACTTGTGTGACCGCCTGTGACTTACCTGGGCGGACATGTTCCTCTCATGCAGAGGCCCCTGGAATGACAGACCTAAACAGTGCCCTCGACCCTGTATTGGTTGTTGAAAGGCTGCTCCTGAAGTTTGAAGTTCGCCCAAATTCCGTAAACCCTCGCAAGACCTGAGGAGCGTTTGTTCGAGTTTGCTTGCCAGGTTAGTCTCCATCGTAGAGGAGCTTCAGCGATCCGACGATGGCTTACCATCCAAGGGGCTCCAGGGGCATCTTGGACTTTGCGCCTCAAAAGCAACGAGATACCTATTTCGTCGTGCTGCCATGACTCTCCATGCTTCTGCTTCTGCATAACTGTACAGTGTTCGTAGTCGAAATGGTCGTTTTTTTGTGCTTGTTCCCAGCTGTTGTTCTCCAGGTTCGCGATTCCTAGAAGAGACCCGCGATGCGCTGGAGGCTGGTTGCCACATCGCAGCACCGAAGTCGCAGAGAGAGTGGAATGCAACCTGGTTGGAGGCCGTGGGCGTGGAAGCCTACTTGCAACAGGCCCTACAAACCGATCAGCCGCTGCTGATGGGCCAGCCGGAGCAGACGCCCAGACTCGAGGTACTGGACCAGAGGCTGGATTTATGACGGAGTCCGATGGCCGTGAAGTGTCTGTGATGCTGAGGGCGCTTGTCGCTTCTTTGTCTGCCATCCTTTATGTAAAGAAAAGCACGCTCTGGGGGCCCAGTTTTCCCACAAAGTGGATTTGAAAGGTTTGGGGATGTGTTCTTTATGTGTGTGTGTGTGTGCAGTATGTTGAGACCTACTCTTATCCTGTTTCTTTACATGTTAGTGTCCCTCCGGAAATGGAAGTGTAATATCCTGTGGAGCGCTGGGAATGTCGGTTTGTTGCCGATTTTCGGCACCCACTCGTAGAGAATGTGGTTAATGCCCCAGAGACGGCCAGGTGTCAAGCGCATGCTGCAGGCTTGCGCTTCTTGGATTCACTACTCTGCGATACTGCACGTTTCGAGCAGCACCATCTGGTGGAGGAGCTCAGGAGAAGTCTGCAGGTTCTTGGCTTCCTCCATGCAGAAAGTGGAATCGTTCTGAGCTTGTCTGGCGGTGTGGACAGCATGGTGACCTGCTGCTTGCTCTGGCTTTTGCGTCGTCGCTTACCTCCAGAGCAGTGCTTCAAATTTTGTGCATTGCATCTCTGCCACCCAAACCGCGATGATGCCCGAGATGAAGAGGGCTGGGTGCGGTGGTCATGCTCTAAGTTGGGAGTCGAGTTGCTCACCTACAGGCTAAAGATCCGACGGCCCCATGGAACCCTGCGAACTGGAATCTCTCGTGAGCGCTACGAGGAGAAGTCGAAGCAGATTCGTTTTCGCATGTATTCGCGCTGTTTTGAACACCTTCGCGTCCCTTTTGAGAGGGGGGCAACACTGGTAGCACACCATGAGGATGATGCAGACGAGAATCGGCTGGCTGAGCTGGGAAAGGGCAACATCATCCATATTGACGGGATGTTGCCAAGCAGTACAACCCAAGGCGTGACTGTCATCCGGCCATTCTTGAAGGTGCGCAAAGCTGAGCTCATCGCCTTCGCTGATCTCGCGGCCCTCTGCTACATGCAAGACTCGACGCCCAAGTGGAGTCGGAGAGGCTGGATCCGATATGTCTTGGACGAGATGAACTCTGAAGAGCAGCAGAACTTTACTCGGCTGCAGATGCTCCTGTCCCGAGCTGGTGAGGCATCTGCAACCCTTGGCGAAGCCATCGACGAGTCACTGGGAGTATGGAAAGAGTCTGACATTACCTGCGGAGTCCCTCGCCGGCATGCGTAAGATCCCGAGTCCAGGCTAGATGGACCCCCGGGAGTTCTCGTAGGCGGTCCCATGCTGTCCCTCCGTCCCACCCATAAAGAACCATCCGGTGCGTCGAGCTTGTCACTTCAGGTGATCGGCGTTCCTGAGGTGACGCTCACCACTGGAGACAGCAAGAAAGGCACGGCATTGAATTGCTAAGGGCTATAAGATTTAAACCAAATGCGTAAGTACGTGCAACTACTACAATCGCGAACTGGGCCCAAAACCGAACGCTTCTATCTAACCACTCGTCTGCTTGCCAGAGCTCAGCCGCAGCTCAGATCCTCCACGCAATGTTGAGCTCTGACCTCAGCTCTTGGAAAGGTCAGGAGCAGATCGTTCACGGCTACTCCTCACATCAAGTGCCGGTGGTCATACTCAGGCTCGTAGCTGGGGCAACTTCAGCTTTTTACAGGCAGCACTGTTCAGGGCAAAGGATGACACCTGTGGAATGCCTTCTTCTCGCTTCCTGCCCGGACACACCGGATGTCGAAAGCCTCCCTTGGTTCACTTGTGCTGTAACGTGGCGCTGTCACCTACGGCGCCTACGGGCCGACTCGTCTTAGAATGATCCTCTTGCCTGAGAGGTTGCCGGTCCTCTTCACTTTGGCTGAGGAGTTTCACGAGAAGGTGAGCCTGCATGTGCTGACTTTTCAGTCAGTGATGGTTGGCTATGTTCGTTTCGTATTCGTGTCCTTCTCGCAGCTTGTAGCTTTGGTAGCTGACCAGTTGCTCCTGCTGCTACGAATCTGGGTGTATTGTGAAGTTCTCGCTTGTTGGGACTTGTTCGGCATCTGTGAGACTCTGTTCAAGACCTGGCGAAACAAACCCGAACCTGCGCACTTCGAAATCAGGAAAGCCAAGACCCATGACCTTGGAAACCCTTCCACCGTGATTGAAGAGAATTGCCCGTGCAGGTGAGGCAGCTGATGGACGACTTCCGGGACATAGCCGGCATCTGGAACAAGGCGTTGGACTTTCCAATGTGTGGATGTTTGTTCCAGATTTCTTATGTTAATGCAAGGAGAGAGGTGACGCACTCGTCTGCTCCAGATTGGCAGCGGTTTTTGCAGAAAGTGAAGGTTCCACATGCATGCCGGTAGTGGCCGCTTGCTGTAGTGAGCAAATGCCGGAGGGCACGGAAGTTGGAGGGATTTTGACAGGCCATCGGGAAGCAAACTGCCTTGCCAAACGGTCACGGAGACGGCGCCCGCAAGACGGGAGCAGCACACGAGAGTTTGGATATGGAGGCTGCGCTGTGTTGATAGGCTCCGGCGTTCAAGATTTTGGAAACGGGTTGCGCTAGATGAACAGATGAACTCGGGGCTTATCTGAGCCCTACATTGATGTGAGGCTGATAGGCGAACGATCCGCTTTTATAGAATGAGATGGTTTCATGGGCTTGTGTCGAAGATCTGGCAGGACGAGGAGGCTGGGGCATGCCCTCTGCAGGCCAGGTCAGGGAGTGGGAGAACCTTCAATAAACTCGGTCTAAAGCTCTTCGTGGGATCTGTGGAAAGGAGTCCACATTTTTTCGTGTTCCTGCTTCAGGCCGTCCGTGTTTGCGACGGGCCCTTTGAGATGGGGCCCTTCGTCCTGGGCCGCGGTGTGTGTGTGGCACTGAATGCGGTGCCGGAGGCGTGGATGGATCATCGTCTCCACGGCCGTCGCGGATAAGTGCCGGTTATATAGTAGTTGTATGGTATGATTTAGTTTTATTTGTTTACGCTTGCAGGCCAACTGATTTTGATTTCAAATGGCTTTCGCAGCAGCTGATTCAGTTTGGCATGCCACCTTGCAGCCTGGCAGGTTCATCGACTGCTCGGCGGGCAGCTGGTAGCCAGGCTGCTGGGCATCGTGCTGAATGGGCCTTGCTTGTGTTGCTAAAAACTGTTGGGGGGCCAATGTGGATTAGCATGTTTTCGAGGCGACTCGTAATCGGTTCTTGAGACTCCAACACTGGATTCCCCAGGACCCCCACGGCCCTGCTGTGCCCTAGCGTCCTCCGCCCTCAACAACTTACGTCCAATCAGGAAGGCATTGAAGCACGTGTGGGACTGCGTGGTCCGCGCTCGGCGGGAGCACCACTGGGGTACTTTGCACAAGATGTGCCCCTTCCTATACGCCGAGGGCTCAGGGCTTGCTTGAATGCGTGGGCTTGATGTTTTCAGGCCCCGATTCCGAGAAGCATGGTTTCTCATTGCATGACTTGCGCGAGTTCAGACGACCACTTTTCGTTTATGATTCCCAGGTGCGAGAAGCGAGCAGCCTGGTTCTGTGCGATGCGCAAGAGTGCGGGCCGGAGTTTGCAGACGTCGGCTCCCAAGACCTGAGAAAGTGCAGGCGTCCTGCGTCTAATATATCGCACCAGTTCATGTGGTTGCTTTTCAATGTCGCCGATAGGGTTTCCACCTCAACCTTACGAGTGCAGAGATATCGTCTCTGCCAGGCCCGATGGCAGCGTCACTTCGTTGCTGCCGTGACAGAGTTC